AACTTCATAGTCTTTCTCATGCATTTCGTGCGCGAATGAGGCACTGGAAGGGACGGAAGGGGCGGAGTTGTCAAAGCGGCGTAGCCGTTGACAACTTCGTCATCGACACTTCGTCGGGCTGTTTTCGGCTCGGCCGACCGTTCGTGCGAAGTGTTTAGATGACCTCCACGAGGCCGTCAAGCGCTGCAAGGACTCTTCTATAGTGCTTAAAGCGAAGTAATTACCCAACTTTTTGAAGAAACACTTCAGCAGTTACTTTTTGTACTTGTTGTTCTATACTACAAATAAATACTAATTTCAATAGTGTCCTGTCTTTTCAAAAAAAATTATTTTTGAGTGGGGATTCAGTATCTAGAGCTAATTGGGTGGGGTTTAGGGGCATAAACCCAGTTTAGAGCTTACTTAGGGTTAGCTACAGTATGCAAGAATAGGCTTTCGGGACTTCCGATTAACAATTTTCGGTGGGCTCCGGTAAAAGAGTTCCGTACCGCCGGTGGAGAGACCTCGGCCGGTACCACATCGGTCCACCTGTGGATCCGGTCCGTTGCCCGAGGGAACAACCTGACTGTATCCATCAATGGACCAGCCTCGCTACCGTATTCGGGAAATATGCATAAGCTTGCATGAGGAGAAGGCCTTTTCGCAGGGCAGTCTTCAGCAGCCTTGATTACTCGTTTCAACAAGATATAGGCCGTCCGCGCCGTGCGCGGAGAGCAACGCTGTCGCGTCCATCGCAGACAATTCGTGACCGGAAGAGGCGCAGAGAAAACAAGCGGGCGAGAGTGCAATGGAAAAGAGGAGTGACGCGCTGTACACACTTACGCACTCTCCGCGCCCTGCGCGGGCGGCCTATACCGAGGCTAACCTTCATTCCATCTCTGCTTTGCTTGAGCAAAAGCCGCCGCAAGGGGTGTCGAGCCCGGAGATGGTTTTTGGCGGTCGTCGCATCGGACACCCGTTTGCATTCTTTTGCGTCGAAATCCACCGCTTTCATGATGGCTCTTCGCGCAGAAAACTGCCAGCCAACGCTATCGTCCACCATATACGGTAGCGTGGACAGATATCGCCCAATCCAAATTTGCTGCTGACCCTGCTCTGCGCCTCTGACCTGCGGCACGCATGGGTAACATTATGAAGCTCTGCTGAGGGCCAGAACATCTTGCCAACAAGTTGTTGCGTGTTGTCAACACGTTTTGCATGTTGCCAACATGTCTCAGTGGGCAAATTTTCCGCTTGATACGGTATGCCTGCGATGCTGGGAAAATGCGGCAAAATTTACGCGGGAACAAATAATACGCCTGAAATGCCGGTCAGTGCGCGCACAAAAATGCCGGCATTACTGAAGTGGCTATTTGTTCACGCGCGAGTTTTACAGCATTTTTTCGGCACTGCAAGGACATACATTGAGCAGAAAATCTACTCAAGTGCAGCTATACGTGCCCACGCAAGCAAGGATAGCAGCAACTGTGGAGTGGACAAAACACACAGACTAACTTTTTTCTTCAGGGATTTGTGCACCCTCTGTTTGACTGGGAGTGACGGATGGAAGGCGGAGCTTCGGCAGAATACTAGTGAATAGAGAGCTCGCAAAAAAGATGCAGAGTCCAGCCTCACCCATCACTCCCTGTTAAGAGGGTATCGTCCCTTCCAAGTTATGCAAAACCTTGGTCTGCGTCTCTGACCTGCGGCACGCACGGTCAATATGGGAAACATGCAGGGACATGTTGGCGATGAGGCTAATAGCCAAAATGTTCTGCCAACATGTTATTGCACATTGTCAACATGTGCCATACGTGGCGCAAGTCAGAGACGCAGATTAAAGGCAGCGTACACCCAAAACAAATGCAACAGATGTTGCAACAGCAACTGCAACTGCAATTGCAGCTTACGCTGTTATGGATTCGTTCGGAGGAGGCGGAGCGAAAGAAAAGGGGCGGCGTGAAAGAAAATTGAGGGGGGTTTACTCCGCTCAGAAGCAACATTGAAAGACCGGACCAACGCAGTTGGTCTTCTTCTGGGCCCAGTATATACACGGTGTAGAAAAATCTAGAAAATTAGGCAACTTAGATTTTGGGTGTACGCTGCCTTTAAGGGTAGCAGCAACTGTTGAGGGGACGATATAAGGAGATGCTCATTTGCTGTAGTTGAGATTATGGTAAAATCAGAAGTTTCTGTTGAGCGACGCTTACTGTACACGCAATGTATGCTGTATGCGGGGGTAGGAAAAAATACGTCCCCGAAAGGGAAGGTCTTGCGATATCTGCGACAAATGCGCGCCTCTATTCAGCCTCTTTCTATCTGAATCAGACCAAAACTAATGTGATACGCACATGCACTGATAGATGTTGCATTACGTCAAGGCCTTGTTATAGTTGCAGTCTCCAACTATGCTTTGCGCGCGCACATGCAGTGCAAACCCTCGGCGCGCGCGATTTCCAACCAACGCATCGGCCATCCGATGAGATGGACTATAACACGACCAGTGCCACCGGTGAGGGGGTCTATGTTACCGTTAGATCCTAGTTCCTCTCCCTCCTCCGCCGCGGATAGCTGCTACAAGTGTGCGACGTCCGCAGTATGTAGAGTACCTTGTCTCAAATGTTCGCTTAGGACCACTACTTGGGCTACAGATAGCTCTAACTGCCGCCAGCTGCACGCGCGGTAAAGTGTTGGCGACATATTGTCCCCTACTACTCTCGCAAATTAACCATAGGCGCGCGCCGCTCCTCATAAAAACGAGACCGTTAACCCATTGACGACGACGCCTAATTTTGCGTGGCGGCGCTGTGGGACGACGCGATTTTGCACAACATTTTCGGCGTGGAGAAGTTTTGTGATTATTCACGGAATGTGAAGTTGTTTCGTAAACAACTACAATCATTTTCTTGAAGGACGAACTCCACAGATTAACTACAAGAATGCAAAAATTTAGAAAAAATACTGAACTGTGGAAAAAATACTAGACCTGGAAATGATATGGTTTTGCAAGGGTTATGGGCCGCCGGTGGTCCACATCGTCCCTGGCGGCAAAAAGTGTGTGGGCCACCGGTGGCACACATCGTCGTCAATGGGTTAAAGGGCGGGCGCGTGATCTACGCTTTCAAAGCAAAAACATCCAAACCTGCCACAAGTGTCTCAGGATGCGGATGCACAGTTCGGGCGGAAGCTTGAAGAATGGAAATTGCGAGCGCAATTGCGGCTTGAAAGATATGACAGGTTTAACACTTGTCCTGATTCCAAGAATTCTTCTCGAACGAAGTATCATCGCACTAAAACACATTCCTATCATTGAGAATGCGCTATAAACGAAAGTGCCTATCTAGTTTCGAATACATTGTTATGAGACTCATGCCAGAATAGAGTAGCGAGCTCTTCACAACTATTTCAAGGCCCGAGCCCTCAATGCACAAGTGTGCTTGACAGGCTGAAGCTGACGTTTACCAATAACTATGATGTTATGCTATTTGAAGCGAGAGAAAGAACAGAATATGGCCTCTACACAAATGTGCATGAATTTTCGACTCTCCCATCGACGAGCTGCTTTCGTCCCAGGACCTCGAAAAGAAGATCCCGATGTCGCTTCAATTTGAAATGCGCGCCCAAATCGGTTTGAGATTCGCGCTCAAAACAACATCCTTGCAATGCGGCTTCATGTTATACCTTGTGCTTGAGTAAATGTGCATGGCGAAGGCAGCTTGTTTGGGTAGCGAAGCTTGTGCAAATGGCATGTACGAGCAGGATAGGGAGGCTATAGGTCCCATGGAGGCATCTGCAACAATTGCCACCTCGCGTTCATACATATGAGGTGCGTGTTAGTTGGATGTTCACTCGGTATCCTCTCCCCTCTCGTCTATAGTCCTCCTAAATATCCGAGTATCCCACCACTAGCACGTACAGCCGCTCCCCGCTTACTAGGGCAGCTGCCTTCGTGTAAAACTAGCGCAAAACCGCGTTCTCCGAGTTTTGACCTCCCTTGCTTATCCAAAAACCGGCTCTACGAAAAGATATCAAGTTGGTAGACGATTAGAGCCCATTCAGTGACGCAGAGTTACAGAGTTACGATAGGCTACAACAAGCTTTCGCAGACCCCTACAATTTGAATATCGACCAGTGGGACAGTTCCAGCTAACACAGAGACACAGACTCGTTGCGGAACCCTACGACATCGATCGTAAGGGCATGGGTACTCTGCCGCAGGGCAGGAAATCCACCGGTGGGAGAGCCTTCTCTCCAGGGATGAGTTAACTTCCTAACCTAATTCTTACTTCTGGTCAAACGCGACATCTCGCACTTGCTCACTTCCGTGTCCGAGGGACCCACTTTCGCTTGGTACTGAAATCCTCTAGCCTTGCTCGGATCATTTTAAAAGAGGTCAACTTCGTTTTAGAAGGATATTATCCAAGGAAGTTACCGTGTATTTATTGCCCAACTGCTTGCAATGATTTCAAAAACCTTGTTGTGTTCTGTCGCAGTCGCAGTAAGATTGTCTCCAGGAAAATATCTACATTCATATGCCAGCACAAATGCGCCCTTTTACGACGCTGCATTCGAGACAATTTGAACTTATAACAAACAAAGCGTTGTTGAAAGCATGTTGCATTCGTTAGCGGATTCAGCACACCATCCTCTTTTCTCGTAATGACTGTACTTATGGTTCTGATCACTGCTCACCTCGTTTGTAACTAGCAGAATGTCAGTATCCTGCTCTGCAAATGTATGGGAGATTCATCGCACGCACAGACTGGACGCCATTGCGTCCAATCGAGATAGTTCGTACATGGGAGAGACACCAGACGGCGAGACGGGTGAAAGAGCGCCCGATTAGCGAGACGCCGACAGTGTCCGTAGTGACTTCGTCAAACGAGTCACCTTGCACTTTCATAAACCAGTTTTTGGGTAATTTGGGTCAGCTAAGCAGTGGTTTAATGAGTTATTCTGTCAGAAGCGCTTGTTTGAAAAAGATTTGACAAGCAAATCCAAGTTTCATAGTTTTCATTTATTCCAGTTGCTTTTGAAACTTTATTTCAATAGAAGATTATTGCAGTCGTCAAAATTTGTTAATTCGCTGGTGCTGGACAAAGCCCATCTGAGCATGAATAGCTGCAGGAAGCGCAGGTACTGCCAGTGTTGTAGATGTACTCGCCGATGATGTTGCCGCTGCAAAATACATATCAAATATTCACATAAAATACACTGTCATGATTATAACTCTATGGAAACGAATAGGAAATTTCCAGTACATAACAAAAATGTAGTGCAAAATAAGCCTTACCGTGGGCCATAACGGCAGACGACACTAGTGCCGAAACTGCAGCGTTTTATACCGCAACCGACTTTGTAGGATCTAGCCCAGGCCATCTGCGATACAATGAAATACAATGAAAAAACCTTAATCACTCAAAGGAATTAATTTATTTCATCGAAGGAGCCTGGGCTACTGCCGGAAAGGCGCAAAATCTATGGGCGTGAAGTTCCGCAAAGCGCATGAAGTCACAGTCCAAGAGAAGATACGCGTGCGCCGCCTTCGCCCCGCTCAACTACTATTGCTCTTGCGCCTTCGTTCGACGGTAACCTTCAATTTAGCAAATTTTTTGAACCATACAAAAGAAGTCGACGAAGTTTTTGCTATTTAAGGCGATCCACATAATTTCCAAGACTTGCTTTTCAACAATTTTTAGTGCTCGAAGTCAAAATCGGCTCGAGAAGTAAGCTTTGAAAGCGATATGTTCTTTGGACATTTGCTGAGGCAAAATAATGCGCACAAGAAGCTTTTTGTATATTTCCTCTCATGAGATGAGTATTTGTACCTGAGTGAATGCGCTAGGAGACAGCGGTTTTGTTTCCAGAAACTGTGTATAGTGCATTTGAGCATTTATGCCATTTTTGGTTATTTGTGACCACCACACTTTTTGCGTCTAAAAATGAATGCTTGAAAGCTATATAAGTTATTGATTCTGCTCGGTCTGTCTCACCTCCACAAGCACATCATATAGCGGTAATGTTACGGTTGACATAACGTAAGCATTTTGACCAGAAGTTGTTGCCACCCCGGATGCGATGTCCTGGCAAGTGTCAGCAACCGCTTGCGCTTCTGCTTCTAATGTCATATCGTATCTCTGAAAAGTTTTAATGCTTGCAAAACTTTGTACTGTCGAGTCGTTGACGTTACGGAATAGCCATAGAATGCGGAGCACGCGTCGCATGGTCAAATACCAGTATTTATTATGCAACTCCCGTGCTCCCATGACAATACAGCCGCGCCGCGCGAGCTCCGCATTTTACGGCCAGTCCCTGCGGTCGATGATTACGACGATAGCAAGTTTTAACTGGACAGTTTTTTCTCGTCTATTTAATTCCTTTTCTACAAAATCCAGCCACTCACCATCTGGTACATATTTGTAGCTTGGGCGCAATTTGGATTTCCTGCGATTCCATTTCTAACGAGCCCCTTTGCCAGTTGCGACCTGGGTTAGAAAAATATGAGACTTCTCAAAATGAATCTGACAATGAGAGCAATGTAAAATGTGGTTAGTTCACAATGAATGTTTGAAAAAGAGTAAAAGGAGTACGTTCAGTTGATCATAGAAACCCTATTAATGAAGCCATAGCACAAGAAAAAAAGACATTTGAAAGCATCTCCAAAGTTGCTGTGTTAGTGCTAGGCCGCAAGGTCGATAGATTAGTACGGGTGTAGGGCTATTTGCACGACCGTTATGCTTTCCATACGAGACCACCTCCGCGCGCGACACATCCTGCGGCGGCTTCCCTAACAAGGGAACGATACTTGGTGTCCGTGGCTTTTTGAGATGAGATGTATACCATTACACTTGTCTTGGAGCGCTGACTTCGAATCTGACTTCCGTTTTTGCTAACCATTTCTTGGAAAAAAGTTATGAAGGATTTTCGCGCCGAAGGAGATGTGGTCGAAATGCCAAAACCGCCGCTAAAATGTGGTGTAGTGGCTAGTGCAATAGTTTCGCAAGTTAATACAAGTTTAGGTTCGAGTCCTTTTGTGTTTTTGAGTTTTGCACTGCCTTAATCAAGCTTCTTTTCAAAAATTAGGCACTTCGACCGTATTTCTTTTGGGCGGCCATTGACGCAAAAATCCCTTATAACTTCTTCTAGCGAAACGATTAGCAGAAACGGAAGTCAGATTCGGAATCAGCGTCCCAAGGCGAATGTGACGGTATACGTTTCATCTCAAAAGGCCACGGACACCAAGTATCGTTTCCTTGTAAGCAGAACAAGGGGAGGAAAGGTTTGCGGCGTGCGCGACGTGTTCAGACAAGTCAAAATCGGGGTGGCGCTTGAGACCGCCCGTGCGAAAAGACCGTCTCCCGATTAGCACGGGTACGTATATCCCGGCACGGCGCTGGGACGGCGCTGGCATAGCATTGGCAGGGAAATCCGGAAAGCCCAAGAACTGCATACGGCACTGCCTAGCAAAGATAAGATCTCTGAGATGGAAATGTGCCTGACTTACTTTCCTACATCACGATCTATCTCAGTTGCAGGTCGTTGGTTCGCTCAACTCTCTGTCCCCCCCCCCCCCTCCCCTCCCCCATCTTTGTGTTCAAATGCGCTCTAATGCTCATACCTGCGATAGTTTATCATCTGAATAATTTTGTCTCGCATTTCCTGAGTCATCCCAGTGGTTGGAGTGGTTGTTGTCGTAGTTGGTGTAGTTGAAGTCGTTGTTGTCGTAGTTGGTGTAGTTGAAGTCGTTGTTGTCGTAGTTGGTGTAGTTGAAGTGGTTGTTGTCGTAGTTTCTGTAGCTGAAGTGATTGTTGTCGTAGTGGTAGTGGTAGTCGGAGTCAGAGTAGTGCTCGTAGATTGCGTCGAGGCTGTAGACGATGTTGTTTCAACTGAAAGAATGAATTTATTAATATTTTTTAGCCCGATGTCTTTCGTCGACTTTTATTTACAGGTTCCTGAAATTAAAAAAAATGAAATAGTGTGGAGAACGACGACGACGGGCTGCAATTTGGATTTGCTTATCTTGGAGGAATTTCTTCCGAAATATGCCCTTCGTTATTTGGTTCATTATTGTAGGATTTGCGCTGGAAAAACCCAAGTTTCGCAAAAAATTTCACCTTCCCAAAGATTCAGAAAACTTAAACTTCATCATCAAAAATGTTGTTGATCTCTATAAGCATTAAGATAGCGTAATCTTTACTCCAAGTTAGCCCACGCGCACCTAGATAATTTTCAAACCTCCGTCAAAACCTGACCACACTATTTGCTTTGCGAACCTGCACATATTGGCTAAAATCACGTCTCTAAAATCCCATTACAGAGTTAAGTATTTTGGAACCTTGCTAAAATTGCAGTCAATTCGCAAGGGCGCCATTCTGCTAGGAGTCCTTACCGTGATCCTACAGTAAGATAAAAGTTGCGATTTCACTGTAGGTCTTTATCAGCATCTTTTAGTCAAGATAGTCAAACTGTGTGGATTCCGAAACAGTAAAAATCAACATACAATACAAAGGTGTGAGGGTGAAAATTGGTCAGTGTGAGTTGGCCCACGCAAGGAGTGGACGCGATTGCGTCCTACTTACAATTAGATAGTGGGAGCATGGAAGAGACAGCAGACTGTGCGAGGAGTGAAAGAGCGCTTGATCAAGGAGACGCCGATGGTGTAGCGACGTCCTATCTCTGCGTGCAATAAATCGCCTTCACTTAGTGTGGATCTACAGTGCAAAAAAGAAGTAATGTATTATGGAACACAAGAAAATGTTAATGCTTCGATTACCAATTTGTTATGAGCTCCAAAGAATTCGCAAAATAAAACCAGTCACATTTTGAGAGATATGAAATTTTAATGCAGTAATAGCAAAGGGTTGTGATGGAACTTACCGTCTACTTCGGTCATATTAGATTCACAAAGAGGTCCTAAGGTATTTTCTTCATTTGTCATGCATTTACCATCGGATACAACTTCTTTGCAAGTCTTATGTGCCGTGCATCCTTTCTTATTTTTCGGTTTCGGATTTGGTATATAGAGCGGCTCACCAATTTTTGGGCTAAAAAAGCGACAACAACAGCAGCTGTAGCAGACAATTAATCTTCACACAATTGTGCTGGTTTTTGATAAAAATAACTTACGCTAATCCGTACACACATGCAATCGCAAAGGAAGTAGCATTATCATCATCATTTTTGCAATTCTTGTGCGTGCATCCAAAGGCTATAGACTTGTAATATATCATCTAAAATTTTTATCACTTCAAAAAAATCTTCGGGAGCTCTCAAATATTATCCATTTACAATTTCATGCAAAAATTGCTATGTTGGAAAAGCTACAGCTCTGCTTGATAACATTTGGCCTACATTCAAAGTTGCCCGCGCTGGCGCAGTTCCGGCTCGGTTCCACTGCCGTGCTGGAGCCGTGCCGGATTGCCGGAGAGGCGCGCCCTGTGGATGCCGGCGCGGCGTTGGTACGGCATTTGGATGGCGCTAATACAGCGTCGGTACAGTGGCAATTCTGACTATTATCAAGTCATTCATCCCCTTAAACTAACCATTATCTAACCCTCCCCTTTCTGACCCGAAAACATCATGTCTTTTAAGTGCCTACGACCTCAAACATCACCGCCACCTCTCATGCTCATTTTTTTAACGACGTAACATTGTGTGTCTCACATTAGCAAAAGCTTCCATGCTTTTATCCTTGTAGATCACATCAGATTCGAGTGGAACGATATTCTTCGTAGCCCATTCTTCGACGGTCACGTTATAATATTCGATAATATCATCCCCTACAATTTCTCTGACAGTGCGGAACCTGAAAGGATCATTTGTGAACGTTCAGAATATTGCAGCCGTTCGTTCCAAACACACTTTCTGAAATTACTGCTCACTCCCATTGGAGAGAGGTCACGAGCTTGTTTACTGCAGTCTTTGGGTATGAGAGCTCCGGCAAGAGCAGCCAAACCGCAGTCATACTTCTGCAATTGTTAGCGTTTTCACAAAAAAGAAAAAGAAAAAAAGAAAAGCAGCAGGGGAGAAGGAGGAGCAAAATAGTCATTCCAATGGACAAGCAGAGTCTATGAACCTGATGCACGTCAAAGAAAGGAACATTACATAATTGAAAGTACAGAAATGATTTTTTCTGCAAGTAGGCGAAGCTTTCTTTTAAAAATCATTGCAACTTTTTTTTCCAAAATTATCGACTGCTCTTTTCGCATGCACACGCTCTCGGCGCTATCTCAAATCATAGTAAGACAGCTATGTCTTTAAAAATCGATGCAATGATTTACCCTAATTTCACGCGTACAAGGCGCGGGGTGGTCCTAGCTTTCATCGACCAGCCCGAACACGGCAAAGGACTTCGCAACCAAAGGAACCCCATGCCGTGCTGCGTTTTGCCTGACGAATCGGCACGTGCGGCATAAGGATCGCTTCTTAAAACACGTTGGGGCGGCTGAGCAGCTCGATGAAAGCTAGGGCCACCCCGCGCCTTGTACGCGTGAAATTAGGGTACTTAACCTTTTATTCAACAGGCTTGGCGGCTGGAAGGTGGGGCTTTGTGACTAAATTAAAGCCGCTCGCGCCCGCGACGCAGTCTGCGTCTCTGTCGAGCGCGTGCTCTTTGATCATTATCTAGCCTTAATTAGGTCACGAAACCCCGCCTTCGAGCCGCCAAGCCACTTAAATCAAATTGTAGTCCATTTCTTTATACCCACTGCCTAGACAGACCAAGAGGGTCCGTATCTCAAGCTTGGCCAGCGCCGTTCCAACGCCGTGACAGCTCCGTGCTAACGATGTGCTAACACCGCGTCGAAACCCATACAAACGCGCCCTGTTTTTTACAACTCGACGTTCTGCACTAGCACAGCACTGTAACCGCGCTGGCACAGCACTAGAACGGCGTTGGCACATGCAAGTATGCACGCAGCCTTGCCAGCCTCTGTTTGATATTGTTTGACGTTTAGTGAATCACTCACCAGTTTGAACAAACTTTTTGAGCCTGGTATGTCTCCATATTTCGAGTCTATATTTTTGGTAGCAAAGTCCCTTCTCAACTCATTATGAAACTCTGTCACACTGTCTTCAATGGTTTTGTTATAGCATTCTTCTCCTGAATCGTTTATTGAGCTCTATTGACGATATGCAATGGGGGAATTGAAGATCCAAGCAGCTTACCTTGAGTTGGAGATATATTTTGCGCTATCAATGCCTGAACACAAATACAATGTCATTCTATCGAAAACCAAAAAGAAGACAAACATACCGCGATTATGATTAGCATTTTGACAAAAGTTGACCACAGCTTTTCTGAGTCTGAAACTTTATTTTCTGTGCGATTTCTTGCTAAAGGGACCAATACCGGATATATAATTATTGCATTGTGGCATTCCCAAGCGTGACTGTGGGTAGGACAGCATACTCCTTTCGTTCAGTCCAGATGCCGAAAAAAATCAAGGGAGTCTTGAATTTGAGGTAGTTATTATATTGACCACTAGCGTAATCAGCATGCTCGCTTATCCCGTTGTGGCAACTCCCAGCCCCGTAGTTTAAACTTTGCAAAATCGATAGAATCGATATTGATCGATACGAAGTAGTTTACGACACTCGCCCCGCCCCGAAGTTTATTTGTGCAAATTGGTCGGAACACTTACAGATACACATACAGACTTCACGCAAAAAAACAGACATTCAGCTCTGTATATAAAGAAGAAAATTGAGCTTAAAGCGCAATACCTATAGCTCAGTTCGTCCTCTCAACTGATATAAAAGGCAATTTTTGAAGGATTACTTATTTATGCCCAGTTCTGCTCCCTTGCTTATAGAAAAATAACTTGTGAGGCCTCTCCGGCTTCTGCCTCTATTGGCTTAATGAAGATGACTGGAGTAAATTCATTGTGCAAGAAAAACTCTTTTTCCCTCTTCCCCTTTCCCCTACCCACAGCTTCCCTGCCAGCTTCCCTTTCCCAAATCAACATTCTCTCTTCCTCTCTCGTTTGCAGTCCATCCTCGAAATTTGTCTTGCTTAGGCAAAAACATAACTTCTTTTCCCCTCCCAATTTTCCAAACCGCTCAAAGGCACAGTCTATTGAGTCAGGGATCTTGAGCTTTTGGCAGCATATAGTAGGAGATCCCCTCCTGAACAAATGCCCAAGTCACGGCTTAAAATCTCGTTTCGGAATAACGAAGAGACACGGGATCTATGGGCGGCACCGCCCCTTCAGTAATATCCCCCCATTCGTGCTCGCCCAGCCAATCACCGTTCGGTACCGCCCCGCGGGCTGTTCTGAACGAAGATTGTCGAGGTTTTCGCTGATTTACGACTTCATTTCGGAATCCGGGACATGAGCCCCGGAACGACAAAAACATGGAAGTTGAAAATCTGCGTAGACAATGTCTCTAAGCTATCTCTCACAACCTCACATAAGTCTCGTAGGTCCCCGTAAAATGTAGGTTGCCTAGATGCCTCGTATAGAGACGTCGCATCCCTCTGAACCCTTGAGGCTACTGCTAAGGTTTGCATGAATCTGTAGAGATGTGATGGCGAGTAATATATAAGTATATATCTCTAAAATGACTGCAGAAACCAAGCATATCACAGCGAAAAGCAGCTTATGACCCTGAATAGGGTATATGGTGCGATTTGGTAGAAGAACGACGGCGGCAGTGCGGCGCGACGCAATTTCGCATAATTTTTATGTCTTCATCCATTGCATGCACATAAAATCATGCAAATAACTTTCTTTTATAAATTTTTCACAATGATCTCAAGAGAATAGATTTTATAAAAATGAATTGGCCCCGCGCGAATTTTCTTCCTCGGGATTGTGGCTGCTATTACGTTTGAAGTATGAAAAGTGTCTCAAATTACTTCGGAGATCGTAGCCTTAGCGTGCTTCGCTCGTTTTGCCCTTGTACCAAAAGTGTTTATCACTGTTTGATTTTTAGAATCCCTCTTCCTATGGATCTTTTACCGACTCTCAAGTAGAGCGGGCTTCCAATCCACTGAATACTTTACATTACTGTAGAATCACTGTAAAGGCATCTTAGTAGACTGAGGTAAGTTATCCGAAACAAACCAAAAAATCTGGAAATCTGTGTCGCAATGTTTTTACGCATGTTGGTATCATTACAAAATCCTTTACCAGCTATTAATTACCAGCTTTTACAACGTGCAATTACTTTTTAACATTGAAAAAAAAATTCATTGGTACTGTGTACCTAGCAAGCATAATTATAAAAGAGCATTATTTTATAGGGCAAATCCCTTCTTAGAACTAACAACACCGATTACTTTGATGTGATTGAATTCTTCGGCTTCTTTTTTGCGGCAAAATATGAACCCCAATAACTTGAAACCCAAGGTCCCTAGCATCCCAAAGTCCCCAAAGTCCCTACCACCCCAAAGTCCCCGAAGTCCTTACCATATCCTTCTTATCGAAATGTTTTTCCGTAGCCCTTTGGGCACTGCTAAGTATATGAATACGATGATTGGGGAAGAAGTAAAAATGATTGCTTGCTGTGAGAAGCAAGTATATAACTATAGAAAGAATGAAAAGGCTATGATTTGATGTCAAAACCCCGTCCTTATATAATGGCAGCGAAATCCCATAATAAAAAGCATTCTTTTGATGGCAAATGATTCTCAAAGATATGCAAATCTGCACTATAAATACGCTCAAAGGAAAGAATGCATCATAAGCAGCTTGTTTACAAGAAATAAGGGAATGAGTTTTCCCATTCTTTCACTCGAAGGCTTCCCTTTCATGACAACTTTTTCTTATGCAAATCTCCTTTGATTTTTTACTTGTTTTGGCAATCTTTGATAGCAGTGTTTGTGACTTGAAACCCTAAAAGCCGCACGAATTCATTGCCTGCTCTTTGATCAACGAAGAAGGCCGTTCCTTTTGTGGTCAGTATGAGCCAGACGTCTTTTCTTATAGAGAAGTACAGACGATGTTATAGAGTGTAAACTTCATTGATTGACCTTGTTTATAAGTCTTGTGGCAAATCTGGCAGTGTTTCCCTCGTATTTATCAATTCCCGGCATATCTGTCAACTTTTGGGATGAAATGCTAGCAATGAGTTGCTAAAGTTCAGCAGTTGCAAAATTACTTCACCTGCAGTTCCATGAACCTAAAATTTTGCTAAATGTTCTCAAAATGCATTCCGTTATAACAGACGATATTTAACATGTTGTCAACACCAAGCCATTGCGTGCAAAACTTCCAATAACGTTTCTTGCGCATTTGGCGCGTGCATACTCGCGTATGCATGCGGTCAACGTGTTAAAATTTAAGCGAGTGAACTGAAGCTTCGTAAGGACGAACTACTATACTGCGCACACCACATGAATAAACCATAATTGTGAACAAGATGAAAATTCAAAGGAGAGCTTTTCTGGTGAGTACATGTTAAGATCGTTTCCATTATCAGTTTCATGCTGTGAATATACGAATGATGGAGAAGAGAGGCATTTTTTTGTAATGTGAGTTGATATCACAGAACTTTGTATCGGTTTAAGCATACAGCATACTTTTTTTAGCAGCATACTTTTTAAAGCATACATATCATTACCACAGCATTGTTTTTTTTTTTGAAGAAAAGGAGAAAGCTGTTTGATTAAAATCAAAAAACAGTGCGATTTGCCTTTATCTGTGCATGTTTGTCTACGTATTTCAATCGTCAGATTTCACCTGTGGCTAGCAGCAGCCCCCCCCCCCCCCCCCGAGAGTGGGTCGTAAAGTTTTTGAAAGTTACTTACATGAGTTATAAAAATGTGCAAGAGACTTATTCATACTTGTAAGTAATTTTTTAAATTTTCTAAAAATTCAATTTAGCCCCATAAAAATTTTTTTCGGGGCGTGGCGTCAGCCACGCCCCTTTTTTTTGAAATTATGGGGTTGTGGGCCCACGAAAATTTTGAGGAGGGTACCCAAATTTTTTTTAGGTGCTCAGAGATTTTTTTTTGTCGCGGCCCCCTCCTCCGAGCGGAAAATCCCAAGGATACACAAAAAACAACCTAAACATGCAACAGAACGGTCGCTAGAAATTTATTGGTAACACTGAGCTCAAACTGCAAAGTTCAAAGTTCAACTTAACCTACCCTAAGTGAACTAGAAATGCAGAAAAACATCAACTAATTTATCCATAATTAATGCAAGTTTTTAACTGATCTTTGAATTAGGATGACTCTATGTTGGAACGTTTTTTTTTTGGCTAAAAAAAATTTTTTTTGATACTCTTCATTTTTTCTCAGCTGAGAAGATGTGAAAAAGCCCACTTTTTCATCTTTCACAAACTTACTGGCGGACCGGGGACGGAGGAAGGAAATTTTTGAATTTCACGTACATGGGTTATATAAATGTGCATGTGACTTGTCTATTCTTTTAAATGATTTGAATAATTTTTGAGTTTCTTTAAAAATCCAACTTAGCCCCGTAAGCGCACCTGGTACCGCCGCTGCCTTGCAAATGTTTGAAATGATTGGGTTACTTCGTGATTTGGAGCAAAGAAAGCGGAAGAAATTTTTTTTGAGATATACGCTTTTTCAGAGTAGTGAAAAGTCTCCAAGCAAATTGGTTCTACCTAAAAAACCAAGACATAAGAAAAACTTGCACTAATCATGAATCAACCTAATAACGATGGTTTCAGTATACTGATTGTGCAATCGATAATCGACCGCAATAAGCATATTACTCTACTGTACACATTTTTCACAGCAACATCAAAACGAGTGCCTTGCGCATTGCTTGAATTTCTTCACACTAAATATATTTTAAAATGCACTAATATTCAAATCCTGCGTTGTCAGTACCGCAGGATGTAATGTGATTGTTACGATTTGATGAGTTCCCGCAGTTGTCATGATGATGCGGTGAAGCAATGCTTGTTGTTCCATTGGTTTCTTTATTTTCCTTGTCGTCCCTGTGATTCTCCACAGTGTGTAGATTTTGTCTTCTGAAAGAGACAGATTTTCTTTACAGAGCAAACAGGACACTGCAAATGGTCACAATTACCTGTGATAAAAGCACTCAATTGTGAGCGTAACCACTGAGAGGAGTAATCCCGCTGAAATAAAAATGAAGACTCCGCCAATGTTTTGAACAGAAATACCGTCGCTTTCATCGCTTGTATCCGCACATATTGCCTGAATAGAACTGTTGTTCAGAACCGATTTTGAAAATCTGAAGAAAATTCGTGGTTCATTCTCTTACTCCTTCACTTCAAATTTCCGCTTTACACTAAATAAAGATTCTAATCAGTCAGAGCAATGACTGAGTTTGAGTGCTTTTAGTGCTTGCTGCCAGCTTGACCCGTTCGAATATTTTTGGAAGGCCTCCCCCTTAGGTCTAAGGCATACCTCTCGCGATTTCGCGACAGAGCCACATCCTCGCGACTTGGCGATTTGCCAGATGTCTAGAGATTGAGCATTCAAGGCTCTCAGTTGCGCGGGTGCGTAGATGCCGTAGATTGTAACAAAGTAAGTCTGGCCCAAGCAAAGTGCATTTACGACCAGCTATGGAGAGTCGTGGCGTGCTAAATCGCGCGGCGACTAAAATCGCGTGAGGTATGCCTTAGGCCTTACACCCTCAAGCAGATCTTCGCCAAAAGGTATTCTGAAAGCGCGATCAAAGCCTGACGGTGAAGAATCTATAAAACCAATTCAACTCATATTTCCCTCAAGTAGCTGTTCTTGTACTGCTCACTTGTGGCTGGAAGCAACGTAGGAACCCGCTACGCAAAGGCTTTTCCTTAGGTACTTGAAAGAGCTGATCCTGGATTTTGCTTTCATACTGAATGGTCCCTGGTGTGCACTGGCGTCTCCATAAATTCTGATTCGTTTTGTTCAGCTCTTGTCCGTATAGATTCAGTTGATCTTTCCACCTGTACATCCATGTGGAGTTGAGCTTCTTAAAAAGTAGATCATCTGTATACCTGGCAGCCCATGGTGACAGCCAAGCATTTGATCATGCCGAATGACTGTTATGGTAGAGGACTTGAAATTACGTACCCATAGTGTACCTGTATATGTTCCGAAATTCTGATGTTGCTGGCTATTTATAAGTAGTTGTGGCAATTTGTAAACAGTTTCGATCCACCCAATATTCTATGGTAGTTCAAATACGCATGTCCACTGAAAAACCATATACGGTGCTTTGTAAATTTCCTCCATCCACGTGCTCCTTTCCTTCGTCATTCTAGCGATTTGGGCGCCTTCTGATGCTATTCACAGATCCGCACTGGTTCAATTTCATAATGCTTCAAAGTCGCCTTTCTGAATTTTTCCAGATCGTGTAGCACACGAGGCACACAGACAGGGTAAGTACAGCAACCAGCTACATTGGTTGTTCCTTTTGTTATCATTGTGCTGCTCTACAGTCATTAACACATTGACGACAAGGCCGATTTTTCGATCACTGCCATTTCGGACAGGAGCCTTTTTTGCTCTGCCAAACTTACGACCCACCCCTGGGTCGTATTGTCCGAAGTGGTAGTCTTTTTGGAAGAAATTCAGAACATTTCTTCGAGAATTTCCCCACAAGGGTTATCGAACGCGCTGATTACCAAAATATGATTAAATTCAGTTTTTGGCGTTATACGGTAAGCTTACGGTAGTCATTCTGTACGAACCCAACATCATGGATTTTCATGAAAATTTGTGTGTTGGGATTATTTCACGTGCTGATCACGATTATAGTCTCCACTTTATTTACTACGTTCTCACGGTGAGACTACGGTAGCAGTACGGTAGAATTTTCGTAGAAATCAAGAAACCGATGTTAGAAGGTGGTATCAAAACTTGAGACTATCATTTTCGTAATCAGCATGATAGAAAACCTATATATGCAAACTTCGAACTTCCTAGGATGAAAAATGCAAAAAAAACAATAAAATCAATAAAATCGATAATTCTTTGGTGGGTTAACGTCAGCCTCTTGTCCGCCCGTATTACTCTTACATGTAAACTTGATTCTCCAGAAACAGCATCATTTTGCGAAGAATTTGAACTAAAGCTTGTGCCTTATATATATACCGTATACCTACCGTAACATTACATTACAGTATCCCGAACCCGGACCACTCTAGCTGGAGCTTCACCTAAGTGCCCCCAATCATGTGCCAGAACCCCGTAGAATTGTAGAATTCCGTCGTAAACTGGTAAAGATAGCGCTTCATGAATCTTACGACCCACCGGTGTGTCGTATTGTCCGAAATGGCAGAACACGTACGACCCACCGGTGGGTCGTATTGTCGTCAATGTGTTAAGCATCTTCTCTTTTTCCATTGTCTGGCAAGGAAGTCGTTAAAGTCACCTAACTCCAGCTGTTCGTAACTCCTGGCTCGCTGAGGATGTTTGGCGTCATGTCGCCTTTCCGTTGTCGAAGCAATGCGGACTTTCCGCTACCGTGTTCTATCGGTTCTTGTATAAATTTTCGTCTTCTTCAGATTTCATGGCTTTGAAATGCTTTCGCCATCGTTCGCTTATCTGCTGTGGTCTTTTCAAGATTGTTTCGTGAGCTTTAATATTGTAGAAGTGATCCGAATTTTTTGTGGCATTTGCTCTTCTTCTTGGAAAATAGCACTTTCATCGCTTGCCTCCTCAAACATGCAGCTTCTTAACATATTAGGTTGGTGCAAATTAATGCGTGTTTTTTCTAGGCTCTTTTATCGGGCAACTTTCTTCCCTTAGATTTTATCTCTCTATAAAGTCTTACATGCTGCTCAAAAGCTTCTTATATGCCCTTCCCAGAAATGACCAGACACGTTCCTAAACTTATCCATCAAAATTTCAGGCAACTTGAACAGCCGCGTTAGAGGCAGTGTCTCGACAGAATTTCGTTTTTCGGATTTTGACCTTTTGAGTCTTCTCCCAGTGGCGTACCCAGGATTTCGGCTCGGGGAGGGGGGGGGGCAGCTACACCTCCGAAAAAATTTTTTTATAAGGCTGATTTGAATTTTTAAAATTTTTAAAAAATCATTTTAATTAATTACAAGTAAAAACGAGTCCTCTGCACATTTAAGTAACCTTAAAAAATTTCGCGACCCATTCTCGGGGGGAGAGGGGAGCGTCCCCCCCCCCCCCTCGGTATGCCACTCTTCTCTCCCCATGGTGACCATATCTGGGATTTTCAGCGCATGCAAATGGCGAAAAAGCTTTTTTCGAAGCTTTGTAAGTCCGGCTTTAGTGAAGTTACGCCGGAAAAGATGCGCCTCCCCCCCCCTTCCTCGCTCCAGGCCCCATCCACTTCTGCACTGAATGCGGACGTGGAGAGCTTCGGAAAAAGCTCATTTTTACCATTTTCATGCGTTGGAAAACCAACATTTGGGTTTCTTACGACAAGAAGCCTCCGAAAAGGTGAAAATCTGGAAAACGAAATTTTGCCGGGATTCTGCCTACAAGCGAAGTTGCATCATTGCACTTTTCAACTGAAACCAAACTTAAGTCAATGCAATTTCTTGGAAAAATAGCTAGCACATGTGATATAAACGACTTGTCACATATTGCATCGTTGATCCTAAATTTTGAATTTATAGTTCAGAAATCGACGCTCCAAGATGAATGCCTGTTGCGGTTAGTATGGGCCAGATATTTCTTTTGAGTGGTCAATCACAAGGCTTTGCTTGTTTCTATAACCATAAGAAGTGATGATACTTTTTGCCGAAAAGCTAGCCGTTGAGTACACAGAACCAAAAAGTTCATAATCTGGGGCTTCAGGGCCTATTACAGAGAGGCTCAACTATCTGGCAATTCAAGTTTTGCAATCTTCCTTTTCCCTAGACCTTTTTCATTCGCACTCTTACTATCGGCTTACGACTACAAGATAAGCTGATAATCAGACATACCAATAAACTCCGAAAGAAATCATGATTTGTCACGACTTTTGGAGGATCTTCCAATCTTTAGTCCTGCTCATTTGTAATATCCGCTAGGTGTGTGCTAAGACGCAAAACATTCACTGCATTTGGTTTTACTGCGTTCAAGAATATGGAAAACTGACAAATTTATAGCTCGAAGTAAAACTCTGCTAGACGCGAGGTTTTTGCACCAACCCAATGTAAGCCTGCCATTATGGCTCTTGCCTGACGCTCTTGTTTGTAGTGATGAAGTGATTAGTCTCCGTTAAGGTATGTATCAATACCAAGTCGTGCGTACGAGATTAGCGTGATCCCTTTGTAATTACCTGCTCCGTCTTCGTGCTTTTCCTGACATGTTCCAACTCCTTCGTTCCTGCAGGGAATCCGCGCGGGACTCTCTCATATCCGGCGACATATAGTTTCCCACCCTCCAAATAGCTTTTGAGATCTGTTTTTATCTTATTCGTGCTTTTCCTGACAACTTCCAATACTTCGTTCATTCCCCAAACAGCTTTTGAGATTTGCTTCTATCTTATCTCATGGCATCGCGCTGATGTTGTATGAACCTCTTGCCCAAATCTTTCTTTTTTAGCTTCGCTGCAACCTGCTCATGGTGTCCTTACCCCGGTAGGGGTGTAGGGCGTTAGGAGACAAACCCAATTTTTGGACCCCAAAGAACTCCCCGTGCAAAAGGTCTCCCCCGCCAAAAACAGGGGGGTGGGGGTCGGGGCCGATACATTATCCGACGCCAATGAAAAAAAGGTGCGTAGTTCTGAGTTACGGGATTTAGGTTGCTTGCGTTTTGCACGTTTTGTCGCCTAACGCTTGCCCTCCCCCCGGTAGCCTGGTTAACAAGTTCAAATTTGAAGTGGAGCATGGAGTTTGCCGTAGAGCGCAATGTTCAAATTCTCTCAGATTTGCCAAGACGTGGTTTATTTATTTCCTATGCTTGAGATAACTCTTAATTTAGTCGTGCGTTTGATTTTATGACCGTTGACAGCGATTGCGTACACGAGGAAGTGACCGATCGGGCTCAACAATGTACAGATAGGGTTTGCAGGTCGACATGCAAGCACAATTTCGAACATTCAAGGTCAATACTACCAGGTCAATTTATTACTGTCTGTTCGAATTAGGGTTTCCTGAAATGAATGACTGAACGTTATATTAATGTTGGAGTGAAAGTATTCTTACTCTTTTTGGATTATCCTCCCACCATTTTTCCTTGAGGGTTTCGAGGTGTTTCTGGTTGAGCAGTACCAAAATTCTGAAATAAGTAGATCGACTTGGTTCGCAAATGTAAGGACAGAAAATTACGCGCTGGAAATCTGGTCTCTAAGATAACTTCCAGATTGCACGGCTATGGCATACGGTTTGCGAGCAAGTTCCGTTCCAACTTGCTGCAGCTGGCAATTTGTATAAGCCATGTATTTTATGTGTGAAGCATCACCTAAGTTTTGCCCAACTTTCACATTTTTGTAATCGAATCATAATCTTTAGACCCACCAATAAAAGCGAACTGTTCTTCTGGGTCAAGTACACGACGGACTGCATCATCTATGTTGCTAGGCAGTTTAGATCTTTGCATGTGCCTGAAAACTGGCAGTGGATATTTGTGGATAATTTTCATCATTGGCTAGCTAATTATTTTTTTTCATATATTGCGATATGTAAACCACGTCTTCGAAATGAAAATTTTTACATATAATTTGTTTTGATAATAAGTTCAACTAGGATTTTACTACCTTAAGACGCATGTGTAGTGGAGGAAAGGGGGGGGGGGAGGGGGGAGGGAGGAGCACCTGCTACCTTCCTTTCACCTCAAAGCGGCCAGAAAGCAGGATGATGCTCTCTACCAAGGAGCAAACTAAAAATTGGGGATGGGAGAGCAAGAGGGCCCATGTGTTGGCTGGCATGAGAAAAATCGGCGCTATTCCAGTATCCGGGCCCCAAAATTTTTTTGCCGTGGATTTGCCTGAAACTTGTCCTAGGAGGGTTATTCGCCCCGCTGATGCCGAACATCAAATTGCTTTTGTATGATAGCGCCATTTTTTGAGGTTACGGTGGATGTACGGGGGGTCAAAATCACGGAATCCGCTGAAACTTGGCCTAAGGGGGTTACTTGACATGCTTATCACGATTATCATGCTCGCCTTGCGTTTTGGGACATTTCTCCAGAGTTACGGTAGGTATATGGTCAAAACCATAGACCTGCTTGAAAATGTGTGCAGGAGGGAAATCTGACTCGCTGTTCACGACTATCGTGCTCATTCCGCGTGGTAAAGCCTTTGCGTGGAATTCCGTGATCTAGATTGGCCCGAAAGGCGGAAATATGACCAATTCATATGCAAATTACCGTAACTCTACAAGGCGTTATTGCAGCGAGCGAGCATGGTATTCGTAAACAGCATGCTCAAAAACCCTTCTAGGCAAAGATTCAAGCAAATTCGGAACTTCGACTTATCTACGGTATACATACCGTAACCCAAGAAAATGGCGCTTCTTTTGAAAAATCAGCATGATATTAATGTTAACCCTTTCGGACCTGGTGGTGGCAATTGCCACCATCAATTCAGAGACAAGCTGTACTGCCGCAAGAAAACCATTTTACTACTCACAGCTATAGAACGCTTCATATAGCCTTTGCCTCCCAAATGTAGCTTTGAAACCGCGTGTTCACTTGTTTTCCTGTCTACAATATATATATTTCTGTACACAAGTCGATTGCAACCAATCAATACTTCGCGCCAGTTCCAGCACCGTTCCAGGATCTCGTTTATTAGCCAAAAAATAATCATAATATTACCAGAATGTTCGAGTACAATGTTGAGAAAGTGTAATTGCTGATTGTTCGCGGATCCACATGCATCGAGGGAGATTTGGAAATCCAAAATAAACGCAAAACCAAATGATTAAAAAATCAAAAAGAAATAGGTCATGTGGTTAAAAAGAATTCAAACTCCGTTGTGAGGTATTCATGTGGTAGTAAGTATAAAACAGTGGGAGTGAGGCTTCTCTGCTCACTCGGATAAATCAGGTCCAAAAGGGTTAAGAGGGCTCAATAACCTCCCTAGGCGAAGTTTGGAGCAGATTCATGGTTTTGCTCTCATACCGTACACCTACCGTAACTCCACGAAAAGCCACAGAATGCAGAAAGAGTGTGATATTCGTGATCAGCATGTCGAATAATCCCCCTAGAGTAAATTTCAGCCAAATCCGTGACTTTGACCCCCTACAGTACACCCACCGTAACCTCAGAAAATGACGCTATCATATAAAAGCAATGTGATTTCTGCATCAGCGGGCCGAATAATCCCCTAGGCCAAGTTTCAGGCAAATCCACGACAAAAAAATTTTGGGGCCCGGATACTGGAATAGCGCCGAAAAATCCTTGATTGAAGTGGCTTGAAATGCCTAAAGTCTTGAGAAGCATTGAACGCTGATCTCAAATCTGTCCTCCTTTTCTGCAGAGGGCCTCTGGGTGTCAGAAGTTGTGAGCGTTCAGAGTTAAAAAACTAAACGCCTGGTCAAAATAAAACCATTGGTGACAGCCTTTCTAACTCACAGGGAATAATTACGGTCACAGGAGTAACAAGCACAAGATTTCTACTCATGTTCCATTTGAGCTTTTGCGAGACTTCTATAAATGACTTCTAGCTTCAAATTCAAGCCACAAATGCCCATAATTTTTTTATCCAGAAACGCTCCGCAGATAAGGAAAACAGATTTGGAATCTTTAAGTGTTCTGAGCCACACAGGTTTTTAGATGGTCCTTATTTATCCAATCACGGCCTAACGTTTCGACGCCTTCGTAGCGCTTGCAGGGCTTGTTCATTTTGCACATTAGTGTAAGGCCTCGGGCAGAGTTCACGCAATTTGATCGTCGCGATTCAATGCTACAAGACAAGTGTTAAGAGTTCATTGCATGCCGATCCTCTTGCATTTCGGTTGTGATAGTTAGCCACGATTACTCGTGTTGGAAATCTTTCACCACAGAAATGAAAGAAGATCGGTATGCAATGATATTGTTACAATTGCCTTGTCGCAATCAATCACCACGATTTAATCGCGTGAACTCTGCCCGAGGCCTAAAGCGAATTCATGTCAAATGACTCGAATACAGTGCTTAAATCAAACTTAGCGCTGCGAAGCTGTTCGATAAATCCTTGTGAGTTGAATGGATGTGCAGTAACCTTGGACAGCAATTGCTCATAATTTTATTCAAAAACCATGCATTCTGTCGATTAGGATCGCCTACACAACTTATGATTGGTCCGATCTTGTAGTTGTCCTCCGACATTGAATTCATGTCTCGCAAAGAAAGCTTGTGCGTTTTGATCAATATAAAACACTGGACAACTTGGACATCTAAGCTTCAACCTGTTGATAAACCTCTCGTCTGGTCCAAGCGTCAAATCAACTTTTTACGGGTGCACAATTCTTTCTCAGAGACCATTCTATACGTTGTGGTGTCCGCAAGATGCGCTGCTGTTGTTCTGCGATCTAACTCTTGAGGCATTACTACAAACTCGCCGCCTTTATCGCTTACACACACGCATTATGAACCGTTCGAGACGAGTTCGCGTATCTCTTTGGAAGCTTGCACTGTTCGTATGACAAGTTGTTCTGATGTTGATTTTTGATCTGTTGAGAACTTCCAAAACACCAGAACATAAGAGACGGAACTTATGCCTACCTCAAGAACGGGAGACGGCTGTCTGTCGATTGAGAGAAAGGAATTAATGGTTAGCTATTAGATTCGTAAGACGCCATTGCTGGACTACCTCTATGTTTAGCCCTCTCTTAGAGTGTCTCTGACTTTGTGCAGGCTTCCAACAACTTTGCGACAAGTAGCAGCATTGACGTTCTCCGCAGGAGAGAATGAAGGTCCAAGGCTAAGAAGCTCGATGATATTAGAAGAAATTCAAGTGTTGCCAATAACACTGACTCTTGCCGTTTTTGCATTGTAACATGAAAGTTGTTCATAGCGGTCATCGGTTTTGCTACTACTGTCACGTGAGTGATTTTTACATAGTTCAGCAAGAGTCGGTCGTACTTTGCGCGAGCTTGGGTTTGGTCTCAGATCAAAATTCCAGACAGATTTGGAATCAGCGTTTGATGTCCGTCAAGATGGTATGTGTCACTTCTGGAAAGGTCGCTTCGACCAAAAACCCTTTCCTGGTGAGTAACGCAAGCCCTATTGAAAGCCTTGTAGCAGACATATTCGAGACTCACAGCTATCTACTTTAGCTCACTTCGCTTTTGGTCAAGCTTTTGCCAGTAGAGCGCGGCAAGCTCCTCGGACTTGATGATTTTCCTGCATCTCAACCTTTCCTTAGCTTTTTTCTCCCATGTTCATCACAGTTCATTCTTTTGAACATTTCTCGAGTTTAACGCTCGGAACTGTCAAAATGGCCAGGAGTGCGGAAATTAACACTTCCCGTACAGAAGACAGGCGCGGATGCTTATGATAGGATTACGAGCAAATAGCTGAAATAGCTATTTTTGCTTAGTTTGCGCTGCATACCTACTTTTAACAGGTTTGGTGCCTTCGTTTCTGTCATTGCTCATCGGTAGTCGCTATCTTGCCGCTGTATTTGCTCTGCAGAAGATATGCCAAGGATTTTACGGCTCGAAAGTCGTAAAGAATGATACACAGTAGTCGTTAAAGTGGCCAAAATATTTATTCTTTCTGCAGGGCAAGAGCATGGCGCTTATGCTGCGCAAGCTCTTGGCGGTTCTTTTCAAAGCTGAACGATTTGAGCTCCACGCATATGTGTACTATATAGTGCCTGCAGTGATGACAGTGATTTGCGGTATCCAGCAGGATATCAGCTATTGTTTGAATAAACAAGGGGATTCGTACAGGATTTGTGGTTGCTGTTCGGCTGGTTTGATACTAATCTCTCTACGTCCGCTGTGCAAAACTCAAGTTGTATATATGGTGTTGCTAGCAGAACTGTGTTGAAAGCTAACTATTTCTTATGGAAATTAAGATCGCGAGTTAACGAAAAGTTAAGAACAATCGCAAAATTGAGTATTTAGAGCGAGAGTGAGGCTCTGCATGAAAGTCAACATTACTAGTTTACATTTGAGTGCTGTCTTGCCATCTTCAATCCATCATTAAATAAACCATTGTACGTATTTTACAAACATCAACGAATTGCCGGTTATTCTCTAGCTAGCGGCTCTACTACGACTTCTTTTTCACAACTACTTCCTTCTTGACAGAGCCCATTATCTACCTCTGTCGCTGATAGTCCACTTTTCACACCGTTCCTTATCTACACCTTGGTTTGCATATACTTTTTTCAACGACGTTAGGAATGACTTTGCATCGATGAATTCAAATCATCTAGGGTGCAGATATCGCTGTCCATATCAGTGTTAGGTAAGCCTAGTTCAGGGAAAACGAGATATTAATAAACAATTCCAACCTTCACCGGAAAAAAAGAGAAGATAATCGAAGGTTGAGATGCAAACCAAAAATCCTGAACTAAGGTAGAGATGCATTTCAGAAAACCTGAGCAAATCTCAAGCAAGGAAGTAAAAGTTGAGATACAAGAAAATTGAAGTTCGAGGAGCTTCTCTT